TTTTAATTTATAAAATTAAAAATTAGCAAAAAAGTTTAGGTTCAGGGTAAATGTGGGAGAAATTCTGTGTTTAGAACTAAGGCAGAGGAATGATTGAAGTAGTAGAAAATGCGTTTCAGTGTCCTGAGGACATAAAGTTGTGGGGGAAAATAGCCTCCCTCTGTGTGGCATGCATTTACCAGTGATGTAATAATTAAAGATTTTTCAGAGTTGTTTTTTTTTTTAATCATCATAGAGGAAAGAGCAGGACCCTATCCCCCTGGAATGTAAGTGCACTCATTCTCTGTTCATTTTCTAAATGTGATTTTGTTATCATATGAGCAAAAAAGAAGAAAGCTTGAGATGTTTTTGACAGTTATCAAAAAGGATCTGCTTGTTCTTCTTTGCTGTCAGTTGTTTTTAAAAAGCACGAAAAGGGAAAAAATCTGTTTCTGAGGAAGCTCCTGGTGTTTGTATGGTCATTAACGGCGCCCCCGTGGTGAGTTGTCTCCGGTCCCAGAGTTCCTGCCAAGGTGTTCACAGCCTAGCGGGGCCCGCACACCCCTCTCCGCAAAATGCTCCCTGCGGCTTCTGGGAATGCCTCTTAGATACTGCTACCAGGATACCAGAATATTTCCCAAAAACACTCTCAGCCGAAGATAGGACATAGCATTTCCTCTCTAAGTTCTTGCTGCTCTTGCTTTTTATAGAACCTCAGCTATGAATGAAAGGCTTCAAAATCCACAGTTGTCTTTTTTTGAGGACTGGGTATCATCCTCACGGATTTGAATATGTGCCTTGCATGTGTGAAACAAACAGGAAGTTTTTACATTGTGTACAAGCATTGTAGGTCACTCTGCATGTCTGTATTACACGTTCAAGGCCAGTGCCTGAGGAAGGTCTGTTCGCCACCTGTTCCAGTGACGGCAGCCTTCCGAAATGATTAGGCCGTGTGTCTTTAGCGCCACCTTTGGGATAGTTAGGAAAGTGGCATGTTAAAGTAAACTCACCGAATAAACATCCTTCTGTTTGTGCTTTCTCTGACTGAATCCCTTCTAACACAGCTGTGAGATTTTAGAATGGTTAGTTTCATTTCTTAAATTTTTGCTGACCAGTGTAATTATTATGAGTGACAGAATTCTAGTGCTTAAAAATCCAGAGTTTAGGAGAATTGGCTAAAGTGTCCTTCAGCATAGTGTCAGGTCTTGTTTTATTTTTTCTTACTAACCTCTACACCCAACGTGGGGCTCAAACCTATGACGCCACGATCAGGAGCTGCACGCGCTTCGACTAAGCCAGCCAGGTGTCCCTAGCCTCAAGTCTTTATAGTTAGTAAACTAACATCAGAGCAGTTTGACAACTCTGAACAAGAGTGACTGGACTGGGTTGGGTTCAGCACATTTTTTGCTGGCTGGGCTGCAGGTGCCCACCTATACTTCGTTACTTGTTTAACAGCTCTTTTGTGTACGGAAGTCACTGGTAACATGGTTATCACTGAAATCTGGTGTCTTCATTTAAGAGTTTTGAGAATGTGGTTTTTGGAATATAAATAGAGAAACCAGGCAGATCTCTTTAGGTATATTTCTGACTGAGGCAGAAGTGTGTTAACTGGAAACACACACCAAGGGCCAGGGTTTAGGACTCCTGCGGTCTCAGAGTCTGCTCCAGAATGAGCACCTACCTTGTATGAACTGCATCGGCCTGTCGGCAGGGCTCCCGGGACAGCGGCAGCCACACTTAGACTGAAATAGAGTTCAAGCACGTCTCCAGTTTGCTCTTTCTTTTTACAGAAAGCAAAGAAACCCAAGGCGGCAGAGTCTGTCTCAAAGCCAGGTGTCAGTGAAGGTAAGGCACTAAAAGAGGTCCTTATTTTAGCAAAAATAAGGCTGTGGAGCCGTTTCTTTCAAAAGTTCATGCTTTTGCTTTGTTTTTTGTTTGGCTTACCTTTTTTTTTTTTTTTAACAGAATCTCCAGGGCCATCAAAAATTAAGACAGGGAAGCCTGAAGAAACCAGCCTTGATTCTAGAGAGAAGAAAGCCAGCTCAGCTCCCAAAAGTGCAGGTGGGTCCTACTGAGGCAACAGGGAGCTCTTTAGAGGGCTGGTAAACCAGGTGGTGATATCACGGTTTTATCAGAGTGCATTCGAAAGCTCAGGCTCATCCTAAGTCATGTTTCTAAGTCGTTCATTGAGCTCTCTTGGAGGCTAAGAAACAGTCGCTCTACCCCAAAGCCTGGTTGAAGGAGTCTGGGCATAGATGCTAATTGTTTTTTTACTGAGAGCGCATTTGGTGCCAGAATACCCAGGCTGCACAGGGAGCTGGACTCAGATTTACTGCAGAGACTGGTTAGTGTCTGAGGCTTGGGGCATTGGGCGGGAACGTCCCAGAGGGCTGTTTGACACATAGCCCAGAATTCACTGCATTTCTCCTCACTACCCTTAACTCAAAGGAAAGATTGATTTCACAAAAAGGAAACACAGATTTATTATTAGGTAAAATAAGGTGTAACCTTGTGTTGTGAGTGGCACCCACAGTGGTTAATGGATTCCAGTCCCCACCCTACACGGAGTGGCCACCTGGCCTGGGGTAGGTGACCCGGCCTCCTGGTACTTCTGTTCCTGCCCCTGTGAGACAGGCTGATAGCACCCCTCATGAGGATGATCTGATCTCCAGCATTCACAGGGCTCGGACCAGAGTGGAGAATATAGCAAACAGTTACTGGTGTGGTTTTCAATGATAGACTTAAATGTAGTAGCTTCATCTGTTTTTAGGAGTTGGCAGTTGAGAGGATGTACTTTGACATTTATCCCAAGAAAGGAAGAGGAAAATTCCTGCTGTTAACAGACTTTTTTTCCTTTTTAAGAATGTGAAATTTGGAGTGATCTGTAGGCCCAACCTTAAAGTATTTGGCTTCTCATTCTTCCAGCAGCAAATGGGAGCTCTTCTGGAAAAGTCGGGAAGCCTCTGTGTGGAACCACAAAGAGGTCCATTGCCGAAAGCGAAGAATCGGAAGCTTACAAGTCCCTCTTCACGACTCACAGCTCCGCCAAGCGCTCCAAGGAGGAGTCCGCCCACTGGGTCACCCACACGTCCTACTGTTTCTGAAGCCGCGCAGGCGCCGTCCGGTTTCCATGCGGCGGGTGGCGTGGGCGTTACTGCGCCCTGTTCTCTGCTAGCTCCCCCTTTGCGCCGAGCTATAAAGTCCCCCCGAACCTCGGAGCTGGTGTGGTCGCTCGTGCTTGTGAGGCGCCTGGGTTCCCGCGGTGACGTGCTGGCCCTGCCCGCCCCCTCCTGCAGGCTCGTGCCCTCCCCACGGCCCCGGAACATGCGTTGGCTGCACTTTTTATGCTTGAGATAAAGACTCCAGATTCCTTGGGGTGTGTGGTTGGCCCATTTTGCCTAAAATTCTAATGATTTTGCTGCCGACAGTGGAACAGGCCAAGCGAAATTGTACTTTAGAAAGTGAGCTTTACAAGCACTCCGCCTGCATGTCTGTTTGCCGGCAGCCTCTGTGCCCTCTGAGCAGAGCTTGCCGGTCGAGTATTTAGGGAGGGTCTTTCTTTTATCACTTTCAAGACGAGAGCCTTTTAGTTGGGCACCTGAGGGTTTGGTATAAAAATAAAGCAAGTCCGCCTTTTCTCTCATCTGTCTGTATTTTTCTCTCTTTCATAATGTTTTAGTAAGAAAACTACGGCCTCTCCATGCATGATGATCAGAGTGTTTCCACGAAGTGAGTTCCCTTCTCTCTCAGATGATGAAGGGAATTCTGTGTACAGTCAGTCTCTCTTACCTGTGCTGACATCAGGCATTGAAACGTCCCATGGGACGGCTGATTCAGAGCTGAGAATACCCCATGTCAGCATGGCTTTCTGGAGGCAGTTGTACTCCGGACGGGACTGGCTGGTTTCCATCAGCGCGCAGGAAACGGAGCCGGGGAGGGAGGCTGGAGGCCTGGGCGGGAGCACTGGGTCCCCATGTCCTGTCTCCGAGGGCTGGGAAGCTCGGCCCCTAGGTGTCTCTGTTTTGAACAGAGCAGCATTTTAATCAGAATTCTATTCACCTCAGTCAATTTTTGTTGTGGACTTTTCCAGAACAAAGCTGAATTGCCCATTTTCTTTTCCTGAACATCTCTTTAATTTTAATTTTATTTTTTTAAGATTTTATTTTTTTGAGAGAGAGCATGAGCAGGTGGAGAGGCAGATGGAGAGGGAGAAGCAGGCTCCCCGCTGAGCAGGGAGCCCGATGTGGGGCTTGATCTCAGGACCCCAGGATCATGACCTGAGCTGAAGGCAGATGCTTAACTGCCACCCAGGCGTCCCTCCTTACCCATTTCCTATATAGCCCGGTTAAACCATTTCCTAGTTGTTGCATCTTTTATATCAACAGCCATTATTTCTGCCAACTTCGATTTCCCTAATTTTAACCTTAATTTTATTCTGCAGTGATTATTTTGACTGTCTCCAGTTTTTCCCTGTGACCTGTCACAGGGTCCCCAGCCTTAAAACTTGAGTTCAGCCTGCCTGCTTCCCCTCAAGGTCACCTCCAACTCTGCCTGTCACCCCCTCCCCACCCGCCCCCTTCCAGCAGCCAGGCCAGAGCCTCAGCCCCTCAGCCCCAGCTTCTGGCCTCTGCCTACGCCTTCCCCGCCCAGAGCCGCGCTGCCCCTGGAGGAGAGCGTGCTGTGGAGACTCCTTCCAGCCTTTCGTGTCCAGCAAGGCATCGAGTCCTCAGAGGCCCGAGGAGCGGCACTTGTCCTCGAGGTGGGGAACAGTCTGCCCGTGTCGCCCCGGGCCTGGCAGGGTGCCTGGGACACAGGAGAAGGAGAGCAAGGCAGTGACGGCTCAGAGCTGCTGCCGTGTTGAGGGCTCACCCGAAGAGCAGCAGAGCCCTTGGTGGGCTTCGTCTCCTGGGACTCAGCGACCCACAGAGAGGGGCTGTGACCACCTCCCTTCCCGCAGCACTGCACACGCGCTTCCAGCTCGGGTCAGGTCAGGGCGTCACGCCGTCTCCCGCCAATACTGGCCCGGTGGGGGAGTCCGTGGAAGCTGTGCAAGGCTTCCACGCGGGATGCAAGGAGCGCCCACAAGCTCCCTGCCTCCTGTGCCCGCCCCACAGGGCCCGAGCCGCTCTGCTAGCCGGGCGGGACCCGGGCAGGGCCCGGGCGGGCAGGGGCTCCCAGGCGCAGGCTGTTTCACGGTCTTGTATTTCCGAGAAATAGAATTGAAGCCTCCCCACGAGGAACTGAGATCGCCACGCCACACCAGGAACCTGTTCTTGCCTTTTCACCCAGAGAGCATTCTGGCTCAAAGATCTTCCCGCTTCTTCCCTGCTTTTCCACTCGTCCTCCTGTTGAAAAGTGCTTTCAGACTTTTGAACACAATATAAACCAAAACAGTGTGATTCCTATCGTGGAATCTATGTCAACATCTTCAAATAACAAAAATCAGGTGGGATGAAATTTCCTGAGCATTCCCGTTGTGTGGGGTCATCACGTACGGGAAGTCTGCGCGCCCCTCACTGCATCACGCCCTAACCGCCACATTTAGAGCACTGTTTGGGGCGGTGACTTCACATACAGGGTACACGTAGACATGGGACCACCCCAAAATACTCTGCAGCCGTAGCTGGGCAACAGGGGCGACTGTCCCACAAGAGCCACGTCAGGCTGCTCAGGGAGCCAAGACCGAGTCTCGGTTCCAAGGATGAGCCCCCGAGGGTCACCGGGCACCCCCTCCAGACACCGGCCAGCCGCGTCCCGAAGGAGCAGCTACAAAGGAGCCCCTCTCGAGGAATGGATTTACTTAACTGCCTACTTTCTAATCAGCCCTTTGGATTTGCATCCCTGCAAGGCCCACGCAGACCGCCTCCTGCAGGAAGGCCCCCGCCTCCCCAGGAGCTGCACACCTGTAGGAGCTGTCTTCCCGGGGTTCCAAGTAGTCCTACAGAACTTCTTGCTCAATGCCCAGAGCTCAACACGGTTCGAGGCACAGGGAGGGTTCCCAGCAGATCCTTGATGATAGCAGAATGTTTCATTCCTAGGGACTAAGTCTGTCAATTAGATGACATGGGGGAACAGGTGCAAGCCGCCTTGTGTTCTTGGATTCTTTCGGTTTCGTGTCATTTTAAAAACTGATGGTTTCGGGGGCGCCTGGGTGGCTCGGTCGTTAAGCGTCTGCCTTCGGCTCAGGTTGTGATCCCACGGTCCTGGGATCGAGCCCCACATCGGGCTCCCTGCTCCGCGGGAAGCCTGCTTCTCCCTCTCCCACTCCCCCTGCTTGTGTTCCCTCTCTCGCTGTGT